ACAGTCAAAACCGCCCAAGTCACTATCCACTCTATATCTTGTGTAGATAAGCATTCGAAAGCGACTTGGAATTCGGCAAGTACTTTTATCTGCGGAAGTTTTCGTCATTCTTCTGATAGACCTTGTGCATCCAATGGCCTGGCAGTATAGCATGATGTCAAATACATGATACACACTCCGGACTGTTTAAGCAGAGCAACGTTCTTCTTCTCGCCAAGGCGCGGCCAGTCATATCGGTAGACCATCTTGCGTTAATGGTTCAGCTGTTATAGCACGAAAGTGTTCTATTTTGATGACATCAGAATTCATTAGTTGCAGTTTGGTATTTTGCTCACAGGGAGAGAACTAGTGTTTTGCTATAGGAGTAGCTCACAATTTTGGCTGCTTAGTCTTGGTATACATTTTTTTTCTCGCATGGTTTCGAGTTTCGAGTCAAGCCTCTCTAGCTATGAAAATACCTTGGCTACCTAGGTAGTCAATAGATTTACGCTAGTATAGACCATCGGCTCAGACACCGTTACAACTATTCCACGGGTATTTGCCATGCCCCAGGATTTTGACCACAATGGTACGTTTTATGAGGGCGAGAGTCATGGCCAGGAGTTGGATCCAGAGTTCTCCAGCAATGCCTAGGATATGAACAGGCTTTGGGGCTCGATGTTTCCGAAAGCCACCTAGGTATGCGGCGACATTGGGGAAGATTTCAAGACATTTGATTTACTTAGCTAGATACCTAGTCCATCTGACGGCTGAGGATTAGATGAGGCACTGGCCTAGTGTTTTTCGTTCAACCAGACAGTTTGTGGGACAAGCATACGCTGAATTACAAAGCTTGCCGGCCCCTCTTGTTGCGAAAAAAGCGTTATCTGGACAATTCGAGGTGGCTTGAGACTGCGAGCCGTAGGATGCCCATGTCCACTTGTCTAAAGTATTGGTATTCTGATGGCTAGTCGTCTACACAGGTACTCCGCACCAGTGCTGGGACCAGAGGGAAGAGGCAACATGAAAAAATGTCGTCGTCTATTCTCGGATCAAGCCACCTTGAGCACGGTACCTGCAATAGTACCTCGTGGGTATACGATACAAGCATGGTCATAGATCAAATGTCTCGCGGGTCACACAGAGACTGCCAAAGCCAATTACAAGCCCAGATGCCTATCCGAGTAACAGCGACAGCGTCTGGTGTCCGACGTAGCCGCCGGACTTGCATGCTCATGACGCACAATGTGTTGTGCAAAATTTGTGCTCGGCATCTGCGATTCGGGTCTGGCAAGCAAGCAAGTGGCAAGCGCCGACACAAATAGACCGGCGTTGGACGCCAAGCCGACGAGCCCAGGAGACCAACCAGGAGGCCGACCAAACGGCCGACATGGAGGAGGAGCACTTGGACCAACCACGCCAACGTCCCAACGGTTAGAGCTTGGACCAGATGAACCAGACCGTTCTGGTTGCCTTGTCGCCTCAAGCTCCAGCACTGACGGCGCCCAACGCCGACGGCGGCTCCAAGGGCTCATGGAGCTCCAGGGGATGCTGGGGATCCACCTCGGCGCTAACGGAGCACGGCCTGCCAATCGAGGCAGTTCCGCACCAAATCTCGTGCATCCCGAGCGTTTCGAGCCTCGCGAGCGGTTTGAGCGTGCCCCACGTTTGACGGCCCACACTCTTGAGCTGCCTGCGACTTTATTCAAGTGCGGGGATCATCTGCAGTTCGCGAGCTGTTGACTGGTCTGTCGCCATGGCTTAACCGCCCAGGAGCTGGCCATGGGGCGGCTGTCGAGCTCAGATCAGAAGTTGATTACGTTGTCCCAGAGCCAGGTCCGGTGTAAGGTCAGTTCAGACTCGGGTCCGTCGAGCTTGACCACCTCAGATTTAACCCGAGGTCGAGAACAGCTTGCCTCTTCCCGCTCTTCGAGAGAAAAAAAAAGCAATAGTAAATTGCGAGGCTGGCTAAAGTTGCCTTTGGCCAGGTCAGGACTCAGCAAGCCAAACGCCATTGCGGGGCGAGCCGTGAACCCTGGAGACTCCATCTATCCATCCAAAGTTCCAACGTCGAAGACGACAACGACGACAACAACAACGACAATCGTGTCTCAGCAAAGGCCACCGACGCCACTGGGACCGCAGGGCAGCCTATTCTGTCGGTACTCTGATATACTCATACGCTGGTGCAGTCATACTCGCAAAGGGCGTGCGTGGTATTGCCTGCAACACCTACGCTTGAACTATGGCTACGCAGCAGCATCAGTATTATCCTCGTAAGGCAAATTCGCCATGCCGCGATCGAGGCCTCTGGCATTCTACGCTTGAGGTGCCGAAGCTGACGGATATTTATCTGTGATTCTAGCTCCCCCGGGATCGGCACCTGGAGGTTCGATTACCCCGGCTGACATCTCTCCGTTATGAACCAGGTTTGCATCTAACTCACAGACAGGTCCGCCAACGTCGCCTCCCGCAAACCGAACGCAATTCTACCCTCCGCCGGTCCAGGGCTCGCCTGGCCAGCTTGTCAATTATCCTCCCCCGCCCCAGCCTTCTCCAGGGCAGCAGATGAACTATCCTCCGCCACCGCAACACACCCCGTCTCCTCAGTTGTCTCACCACACCAACGCCCAACAATACCCACCGCCTCCTCAGCAAAGTCCATCTTCTCAGGCTCATCACCAGCGTGCCGCTTCGCACCAGTACCCTCCTCCCCCAAATTCTCCGCCTGCTCCTCAATCGCTCCAGCAGGCTTCGTTGGCCGTGAGACCAGCGTCGACAGGTGACCACCATCCCAAGCAGCAAGACCCGCCTGCATTTGACCCTCCTCCACCGTTTCCCGGTGGTAATGCGCCATACCCCCCCGAGAAGGCTGAGCAACAACAACAACAACAACAACAACAACAACAACAACAACAACAACAACAACAACAACAACAACAACAACAGCAAGAGCCACTAGATACAAGTGATCCTTCTAATCTTTCGGCTGGAGCACCACCCGCTGGCCACTTCGTTGGCGCAGGCGCCGTAGTTGATGATGTGGGCACTTTCAATGGCGGGAGCTACCGCATTAGCCACCGTGATTCCAACACAATCTTGACCATTCAACTGGCTATAGGCTGTCCTTTGCAAGCCAAACCCGGTATGTACCGTTCTAGCCCATGTGCAGCTAGCTCATGTTCCCGATTAACAATGAAAAGGTGCCATGATTGCCATGTCCCCATCCATCACACTTAAAGGAGAACTGAAGTTTAGTGTGAAGAAGATGATTGCCGGCGCCGACATGACAACTTCCAGATATGTCGGCCCTGGTGAACTTCTCCTTGCTCCCCCCATGCTGGGAGATATTACCAGCATCCGTCTCACTGGCCAAGAGAGCTGGGTTGTCGGTCACGACGCCTTTCTCGCGGCCACTCAGGGAATCATCAAAGACCACAAACGGCAGGGGCTCGGGAAGGCAATCTTTAGCGGAGAAGGCTTATTCGTGTATAGAATCAGCGGCACTGGCATCCTGTGGCTCACAAGCTTCGGCGCTATTATTCGTAAGGATGTGAGTCTTTGACCGGCATCCGTCTCGTCCCAATTTGGTTCCAAACTAACCCACGGCAGCTTCTGGATGGTGAGAAGTACATTGTCGACAACGGCCACCTGGTGGCATGGAACACCAAATACGTCCTTGAGCGAGTCGCTTCTGGTGGCATCATTTCTAACATGGCGTCCGCAGAAGGCCTCGTCTGCAAGTTTACAGGTCCCGGGACTGTCTTTATCCAAACCCGTAACCCGGTACGTGCTGTTGTCTTGTTGATCATTATTCGTTGGCCATGGACTAACCAGTCGAGCAGAAAGCTTTCACTGCGTACATGGGTGGCCAGGCTGTTCAAGGTTAACGGATATGTCGCTGGACCATTTGTTATGTCTCTGCTGTGTTTTCTTTCGATAGGCGGTTGCACCAGTTTGTCATCATCTACTTGCCATATTTATCCCTAGTCCTCTAAAGGAATATACCTCTTGCACTGGTCCCTTTTTTTCAGTGTTGCCGCGCACATCTTCATTGTCCCCAGAATATACCTGTTGTCAGCGCAATTACCGGCGTGGTTAGATATCACGGATTATTGAAACGTGTGCGTCTAGCGTTTTGTGGTGGTGGCTGGACTTGGTGATGGCTCCAAGTCACAACAATGGGAGGCAAGGCATGGGTGAAAGCATTTGATGGCACAATTGCTCTTGCCGACATTTTCAGTGCCCACGCGTCAACACCTGCCTCCTGGCAACCGTGCCAATGCCACCTCTTGGAATTCTCTTCACCTTTTCCTCACTTTGCCCTCACTTCGCCCTCACCGTCCTTCTTGGCTACTCCATAGCGAACGTGTTCTGCCATCCAGCGCGGCATTCTTTGCCCTCTGTCTCTTGTTTTTTGGATTGTACCTCTATCTCACTCGACGTTTGCAACACTGTGAACAGTGAGCGTTTCTGTCACAGTAGCGACACTAGTTTCTAAACTTGTTCTTCGTGTGCTTTGTGGTCTCACCTGGCCACCTGCACTTGCTTCCCTTCCACCTCAGATCCAGGTCACCTTCTCCATTGCCAACCCATGTTCCAGCAGCTGTCGTTCTTGGTACCCATTGCATCTCGTCAAGTTTGACGCAAGAGGGCAAAGGAACTCGACTTCGCTGTTTGCATTGGATTCGACTGCGCCGTCATTCATTTTGAGGCCGTATTACCACTAATGGACCTCACACATGACTGGCCTCAAACTCTTAAAAAAATTTGCACATTTGAAAGCCGCTCACTTCCTTCGAAAATCAGGAAGCTTCCTAGTGTCTGTTATTCAGACCCCACGAAAAAGACAATCAAAAGCGGTTCAACCATTGAGTCGAACAATCGCGCTCACATCACGTACACGCACAAGATACGCAGGATCTTGTAGTTGCTACATCAATACATACCTAGGTAGCTTCAACGCCGTACGTGCTACGATGTATTCCACACAGCGACTTAGGCTAATTCATACCTCCTAGATGGTTGGCCTGGCCTCATGCAGCGGCAAGAAGGCGGGATATGGCATCGTCCGTAAGGGTCAGTCCGCTACCTGTGCGAATAAACCACACAAATCGAGCCATGGCAGCACACATACGAAACGAGACCTTTCTGCAAGTCAAGAAACAGGCATTGTGTCCAATGAGCCGCTCAACGACCCAAACTGGCGTAGAAGACGCGCTCATAATGGCCAGGACAATTCTACGACAGCTACTCCCAAGAATATGGAACTCTTGGTCCAGGACACCCCTCTGGCCACATTTTCATCGCATCACAACTTTTCACCCTTTGTGCAAGATTCGATGAAGCAGCAGCCAAGTGCTCAGGAAGTTTTGAAAAAGTCAGAAGTCGAGTTTGAGCATTCCACAAATCCCCATTGCTACACTGGTGACGATAGTCTGGGGTGGAGCGCGTACAGTAACTTTCTAGGAAGCCACATGTCTGGCAACCATTTTTTCGACGTGGTACGACATGCCAAGCTACACGGCCAAGGACAAGGACGCACCCTTGATCTATTTGGAGTGGCATGCAGTCATGACTCTTCATATAGCGACAAAAGATGCACAATTGCAAGGCTTTCTTCTGGTGACGAGAGTGTCGACGATAGATTCCTTCAAATGATATCAAGAAAACACACTCTTACGCCAGACGAGAGCCAGGGATATCAATTGATGGCCGCTTTGAAAGCAACTGAGTCAACACCTCGGAAGATCGGCCACACATCTTCGATTGGCCAGGATACATCGCGGCGTTTGTCCTGTCTTTCGGAGCAATCTCTCCTTCAAAATGACAAAATTCTGGGGGTAATTGAACCATGTCGACTTGATTCCAAAGACTCTGGGTTCTCGTTCGCATCGGGAAGCCAGCAGGACTTTAACAATGGTGATGCCGGCATTGATGCAGGGGCTTCGAATACCTCGGGGCATCAGCAACATGCCTTGGAACAAAAGGACATAGCGTTTCAAAAGTTAATAAAAAGGTTGAACGGTGCTAGCTCGCAAGAGAAGAAATCGGTTGATCGAAGTCGTGACAGCGGATATGAGCCTGAACCATTGCGAACACAACAACCTCAGACTCGGCCTACAGGGACAGCTCCTGTCCCTGCGACACGACGACCAACCCATGGAACGGGAAGGCGAGTCAACACCGCTTCAGACTTCGCTGTTAGATACTGGCCTGTGTCGGAGTCGCGGCGAGGAGACCACTCCACCGACTCGACGGCTCGTGATGCCCCGGATAAATACAACTCGCTGAATCCTAAGGCCAGAGAGTTCCTTTCGTTTTCACAAAAGACGGAAAATACGCCATGGAAAGGTCGGCGACCGGCATTGCTATCATTTGATATCTCGATTGACGAGCAAGTGGACGAGCCTTCCCGCCGCGAGGTGCTCGCATCAGAACCTGCACACAAAGCTCCAGCCGCTAGGGACAATCAATTCGTTGCACCAAATGGAGCAGTAACGGTGCCATATATGAATGCTACGAGTATTCCTCTCCTTTTCCAGCCATTTCCCCATTCCAGTGCGTCTTTCTTGGGTCTAATTCCACTCATGCCAGATGCATCTAAACCTCTGATGGCACAACCAGGAGTGTGGCCGACGAGTCACGCCGTCACACCTATACCGGATACTTGTGTACCGCTTCAAACGAAGAGTTTTATGCCTCCAATCACACAAAATCAATTATTTAATGGCCTGGCGTCACCTTGCTCGCAACCTAAGATCGGCGTGCCGAATACAAGCAGTGTTCCTCCAGTAGCCCAGACAAACAACTCCCTACCTCGCCGAGTTCCAAAGCCAAAGCAACCTAACTCGAAGGATCAGCAGGAATATGAAGCTTGGGTAGAATGGAGAAAAGCGACGGAGCCGGGCTATGCAATGGCCTGCAAGCTTCGACAACAGCGACGGGCTCAGCGTAATGGACCAAAAGCAAAGCAAAACCAGTCCAAACCTGGGTCAGAGTAATTATTCCCTCGTGTCAATCTATGTTCATTGAAACCGATCCAAGCGTGTTTCCTTGACAGAATTAATACATGGGGGCGATCTGGTCAGTCAGCTGAAGCCGACCCCTGTGTGTGCCGCCTCGAATTGTCTGAAATATGTTTTCCATTGTTATACATCAATACGTCGCTGTCTCAAGGTGGAGTTTTTCAGCAATCAATTGTTTCGCTATCAAAAGTTCAAACAAGTGGCAACAACATCTCGGTATATCCGGCTCGACTGAGAGACATTGGATTGGAATACCTTTGCAAATTGTCAACTACGAAGTCGGGATCAGCCGGCATGAACAGCAGAGAGCATCATCGTCGCCTTATTCGCCATATCATTATGTTATGAGTTAATATTGTTGCAATAAAAATAGTCGACGACGTGGGATGGATACATTGTTTACGGATTTGACGGATGTATATTTAGTCCGTGTGATTGGGCGAAGTAATTGCTGCAATGGAATCGTCGACGAAAGGCCAACAGCACTCGCTAGGAGGTTCTTCTGTGTTGTTTTAGTCAGTGGATGACGTTAATTGTGACAGGGAAACTTGTGTTTGTCTAGAGTTATGTCATTTTTAGCCACCACCGTCTCGAAAATAGAAAATCTGAGGCTGTCATCAATCCGTGATGGGTCGCACGACATCTGGGTATATCACAAAGTATGGCTGTCAGTGATTTTCTAGAATGTACGGAGTACTCCGTAGTCAGATACGCTTCCCCCATGCAACATTTAGGTTGACCCATTCTTGTCTTTCCCGAGCATGGCCTCCCGACCGATTGTCCTCCTTCGCCAATCGCGACCGGTGTTCACGCTTACGGTTACACTTCCCCCTGAAACATTGTCAGCCGCCTCGGCGAATCCCGTCTCGAGGATGTTACTTGTCAAACGGCCAAAAGTACCGATTTGCCTGCTCGGGGAAGATGGGTTTCGTTTCTCTGCAAGAACCACTTTTTCTTTTTTTGGTCGGGCTGAGAGTAATACTGGCACGATCAGCATTGGCATCACCATGCGGGAATGTGTACATGCGTGCCGGGGGCACCATCTCGGTCGACTTTTGCTTCTTTGGATGCGTCCTTGCCTAGCGCCACGTGCAAAAAGACAGCGTGAGGGGGAGGGGTTGCATTCCGCCCCCTCCTCCCCCCCCCCGTCTGAAGACTCGACGAGTTGGGGGCGGACGAAAGCGACGGGGAGGGGGGTCTGTTGGGTCTGAGAAGCGAGCAGTTCTTGGGTAGCCGTCAGGGGTAACGGCAGCGTGATACCAGGAACTTGGGATGCGATCGGTGGGTAGGGATGTGTTTTTTTGCCGGGGCAGGTCAATTATCCAGCACGGCGAATGGGATGGAGCGTGTGCAGTTTTTATTTATTTCTTTTGGGCTGAGCTGAGAGATTTGTGGTGGTGATTTGCTGGCGAGACGGGGTCCGCGGTTCTGGACGCGATGCGATTTGGACGAGGCCGTTGTGAGGAACGATTTGTATTGCAAGTGTCCTGCTCTACCGCTGGTTGTAGATGGTATGGATGTCTTTTTTGGTTTTGCGGTATACATGTCCCTTTGGTCTCGTTGGGACCTTGTTTATCCGTTCTTTGGTGTTCACCCCCTTCTCTTACCTGTACTCCCTGCCTGCCTAATATAAAGAGATAGTGACAAGTACATTATTGAACAGATTATGAAAATGCCGACTGGCAGTTAAACGTAGATCAGAAACAAAAAGAAATATAGATATAAAATCACTTGTCGTCCTTCTTTTTTTTGCTTGTTTGTCAGTTGCCCTGTTCCCCTCTTGATTTCTAATGTTGATTCGGTGGATATGGTGTAGTCGAAAAAAAAAAAATGAAAAATGAAGAGTAGTTAAAAAACACTGCCCCTGAAGAGGCACACGCAGTCATCGTTCCGTCATTACTGGGCTATATCGTGTCATGTCTCCTGAATCATTCAAGGCATTAACTCCCGCGATACCGCTTGGGTTTCGCGGCAGAGGTTACTGGCCCCCCGTCGGCCGCTCTCCTCGCAATCTTCTTTTTATTCTTTCGAGCTCTCTCTCCACTGGATTGCGCACCAAGAAACCATTCTCCGTTTCTGTGAACGAGGGCTCCGATTCTTTGAAAGTAACGTAGCTGCTCCGGTGTAAAGTTATATTCCCGTGCTGCTTCTTTACCCTTCATCACGGCTTCGTGATGTTTGGCAACGTGTTCCAAGCACCGTTCCCATGAGTCAGCTTCTGCAAACTTGGTTTGACAGCCTAGCATGAAGCATGTGCATGCTGTAGGAGAGGGCGTTTGCGAACCACAACTTGCTTGCTGCAATTTCTCCTGAAGCTTCTTCTCAAATGCTTCAGATGGTTTCTTACGTTTAAACGCCTCGAGCTCCTCTTTGGTGCTGTGCATGCGAATGTGATGCTGTTTGAAGAGGTCCTTTCGGTTGAACTCTTTCATATCACAATCCGGACAGACATACGCCTTTGAGAGCAGGTGCTGTGTCTTGATGTGTCGCTTCCATTCATTTTTCCCTTTGAATCTGGATTTGCATCCGGCAAAGCGGAACAAACATGGAAGCCCGTCACACTCTCTGTCATGGGCCGCTTCCTCTATTGGATCTGTAATTGTCTTCCTGCATGATTTGCAGGTTAGGGGTTTTCTCTCGCTGTGGTATGATAATCTGGCAAGGGCTGGATCTTCTACATTCGTCATCGAGGGTTCTCTTGTGCCGCTGGGGCCTGCGACTGCCCCGGTATGAGGCTCTGGAGACAGTTGTATCGAGTCTTCAAAAAGGGGTTCCCGTTCATACGGCAGCACCCCGACCGAGGTCGAACAGTCGGTCAAGCTGCGGGCAGAGTCATATGGGTAGTTTGGGGAAGGGTCTTCTGTCAAAGCTGAAAAATTGAAATATTGTAACGGGACGGGCTGATGCTGCTGAGGGGGGATGGTGGCCATGGCGTTCGTGGCTTGGTTTGCTGAAAGACTGAAATCGATCTGCCCAGATGGCTGAATACCTGATCGATGGGAGGGCCAGTTTGTTGATGTGCTTTCAGATGGGGCAGGATCATAGTTGGAAACAAATGCCTGGTTGTTGTTCACTGTCCCTCCTAAAGAGACAGGAGTTGAAGTACGGTTAGGCGTGTTGCCCTCGGCGTCTCTTGTTGGTGTCATCATCCAAATCTTGTTTGGTTCATGGGAATGATCATGCATCCCATCACTCGCCATGGATGGGCTATGTGCGCTGGAATATTCTGGAGACAGGTACGCATGGAATGGGGACCGATGTCGATTCGTATAGTCTGTCGTGATTTCGGCACCTAGATCACGGTCGACACAAACCGTGCTTGGGAAAGGCGTATTGAATTGGTGAAGCTCGTCGAAAGGCACAGAGGAAGTCAGAGGTGGATCGAGTCTGCTACGGCGTTCAACGTTGAAACCAAAGTCCTGTAGAAGCTGGCTAGTTTCGGGTGAGGATTTTGCTGTCGTAGAATCCGGATAAGTATGTTTGGCAGTCATTTTTGGGGGGGACCCTGAAAGGATATTGCAAGCTGCGGGAGAGAATGCCATTGTTGACCCCTCGTACAGCGTCGTCCCACGGCCAATGCGTTGAGGCTTCGAGGCAGCGGCTTAGCAGCTCGGCAGCTCAGCAACCAAATCTATATAAACGTTGTGAAATGTATTGACGAGCCGGTGGCTGTGGTTGATCTCGGAGTGAGGCGGACGGAAGAAAGAGGATGAACATGCATCTAGGATCGATGAGCAGCGTACCAACACGGGCCTGAATGACAGCCTGCGTGAAACGAACAAATACAAGCGAAGAAATGGCAGCCAGCAGGTTGGGCTCTGTGTAGGCCATGTACAGAGAGCAACGACGAGAACTTTCCCGGTGAGTCATCCCAGAGAGGCTCCAAGTTGACGGATATATATGTAGAGGTTCCGGGATTTGAACTTCTGCATGTGGGGGGAATCGACTCAGAAATAGGAATAAGAGATGAGGCAAGAACTAATAGGCTTCTCTCTGTTTGGAGAGGCGAGAGACAAGCCTGGCCCCCGTATGTTGGACCATTTATAACTACTTGGTAGACTTGTGTACTCCGTACTCGAGGACGTATGGGCGGTGACTAGGAAAGGACCCCGACTAGATCGGTGCTGGTCTAGCAGAGCAGAGCCTCAGAGTTTATTGATGGACGCCCCCCGTCCCTATCATCGCTCCCCCCCAAGTCCTTCCTTGATCATGATTTGGAGGGTGCCCGCGTCCACAGGTCTGTTGGGTCCGTCCCGCCTGCGCACCCATCCCTTGTCAAGAGAGGCATATGGTGTGGGCCTGTAAGTCATCCATTTGGATAATCCACGACAAGTAAGGTAGCAGTGGATGCTGCTCATGTTCTGTCGGCCGAGAAGACGTTCCCCGTCAGCCAACTCAGGGATCACGACATTGTGCGTCTCAAAGTGGCCATGATTTTGTTCGGTTTCAGGCATTCATGTATGCAAGGTCTATCTCGAGTTCCAGAACTTCTCGGTGGTGATTGATGGTCTTGATAGAACCACACCTGTATAGAGCGGAAGACAAACAGAAATTGGCGTCCAAAATGAAGACACCTCTGCCACTCAAACTTCATTTCGTGGAGTAGCCTGGCTGCCTCTGGATTGGGAAACGATGTTCACGCGCACCAGCGGTAGGGAATGGGTGCAGGGAGAATCGCCTGGGAGCTGGCAGTCTGCCGAATGGGACCAGTTTGTCATATAATGTTTTTGAATGGCCATCACCGGAGGGCTCGCCGAAGTCCATCGGATGTGCTGGAACAACATCTGGCAAGACATCGACCCCTGCTGACTGGACTTCTCGAAGGGCGTTAGAAGATACCACTGTATGCCTGGCTATTTCGACTTTTCCTTTTGCCATCTCCTTCTTACCATCCTCCTCCTCCTGCTTCTTTTTTCATCTATCGTTTTCGTTTCCGGCAAACTTCGTCCACCGGTGTCCGGCCGTATTAAGACTTGAGACAAGCGCCCTGCCTACAATGCAAATAAGGCTGGGGCGGGCTCGTCACACAAGTAGGGCAATTTTCTGTGCTGAGGGCACTGCGTACTTTGTACTCCGTAGAGAGCTTTCAATCTTGTTCTGGTGTTACGCTTCTGGGATGTCTGGGGCTGGCTTCGGTTCCGGTGTGAATACACCAATCCCAGGAAAACGAATTCTAAGCCTGCATGCCGCGGAGAACAGGCCAAATGAGGCCACGCCAGCGTTTAGGGCCTCTCATATCCGCGGCCAGCCAACTGCTGTGGCTTGCAGCGAGGTTTTCATGACACCCAAAAGTACGGAAATGATTAGGCGCTCCTTTGCAATGGCGGCCGTGAGGATAATCATGGATACTGTGCGAGACGCCTTTTACGTCTGGCAATCCGCTTTCCCAAAGACTCCTTTTTTTTTCAAAGAGAAGCGAAGAGATGAGTAGGCTTCTGAGCTGGCGCTTTATCTTGAATCAATATTCAAGATTCGTCACCAGTCTCCTTTGGAGCTGTTCCGGAAACTGCAGCTCGTTGGACCAAACCTAATTTAGGGACAAACATACGGGGGGGAATGAACGGCTGGGCTACACACGGACATTATTGGGCTCAGTGAGAGTTCTGAAAAATATCGATTGGTCCTGTGTAACACTGCAGACAGGCATGTTTGGGGGGAGGAGCTGGACATATGAGTGGCCGCACTAGCGTGTGCGGTTGTGTGAGGTTGTGTGTTGGTTTGTCCTGTTGGGAGGAGGCGGATGAGGGAACTAATGGAGCTGACCAGGAGTGGCTTCTATTTTGGGTGTCTCTGGTGCATCACCGTGTCGCCCAGGCTATCAGTATTAAGGAGGGGGCGAAAAGTCTGGCGTTTGTTATTCGCAAGTCGCATCGCATCAAATCTCACCCGTTATTCGGGTCTGGCCTGGTTGATATTATGGTGGTTAGTTATGCCAGACACGTGGAGTACGTAGTAATGTACCCGGTAACAGAGCATGGTATCTCGCAGGAGAGACGGTATGGGGGTCTACGCACATGCGTCTCAAACAACCCGTTGGTATCGCTAATGAACTTGTTGCACGGCGCGAGTATTTTGTTATGCAAGCCAAGGACATAAGGATGGGGGCGGCTTGGAAGGTCGAGTATTGTGCGAATGACCGGTCCGCCATAGGCGCGAAGGGGCCGAGTCGCGCAACTTGGCCCACCTGAGCTGGAGATATAGCCAGAGAGATGGATGGATGGCCCAGCAGGAAAGACGGGGATGCGAAAGGGCGAGTGACGGATTGGAAAAATGGCCGATGTGTTTGTGTTCTTGTACGGGGTCATCCCCCAGTCATGGAAGCAGGGCGTGAGCTGGATCGGTTTGGATACAAGATTGAACGGATTTTAGGTCATCAGACGCAGAACTAGGCCTGGGTCTTGTCGTGTCGGTCATCAATCATAGTCCCTCGTCTGTCGTCAGGCGAACTGTAGGTTGCGACAGACGAAGCAGTTGTCCTTGGTGCTTGCCATGGCCCATGACAAACCTAGCTCGTCGATTGCACCGGCGTCCGAAGCGAGTGGCGGCACGCGGGATCACGGAAAGACAGCCACTCGAGCGCACCTTCCCCAACTGAGTTGAAGAGGCAGGCCAGGAACAGGAAGGACAAAAGCCGACATGCCGGTTGAACCAAAGCTGGGTCTGAGCGCCGAGTCGTGCCTTCCACCACGGTGCTTGAGCCAGGCAGACCAAAACACAACCACAATAAAACAGAAAGAGCAATACTAGTAATTGTTTATTTTATTTTTCCCGTATTTACCTCAAGTACTCCGTAGGGTTGTTATTTTTGACCAGCAAGGTGCTCGACGGCTTCAGCCACGCCTTCGCCTGTCATCTTCATTGTTCAATGTCACGCTGAGGCAACACTGTGGGTGTCATCAGCATCAGCATCATCACGGGCATCATCTCGTCAAGTACTGAGGACGGCAATCCACATGGTATACGGACTACTCATAATGAGTCTGCACCACTGCCAGCCGTCAATTTCTTTTACGCATGGTCTCGGGAGCCCCAGCTGCAGGTCCGCCCGCTGCGCACAGTTGCGTTTGGTCCGCCAAAATTCAAGCCCACGACACTTACTAACGAGCAGTATGTTGCGCGCCTCGCCCGCTTTCATGCATAAGACAATACCAGCACTTGGATACTCAGTTCTCTCAATGAGACTGCCATCCGAAGCAGAGTGGCTCAGGCCCGCCAACCAGTCATTAGCTAGTGGTGGCGTTCTGAATCCATCAGTCCGTTCGTGTTCCGTCACCAACTTCACCCACATCATCAGCGTGAACAGTATCCAGACTGAAGTAAGGTCGTGATTGCATGGTCAAGAAGGTTCGACCGACCGTCACACTTCTTTCAGTGCCTAATAGCAGAAAGGTCAAGGGTCATTGCGCAGTTGGATCTGCTCTGGCAAAACCGGAGAGCGAGCCCTGGGGCTTGTTGCGCCGACCGAACTTGGCAATGGACTCGTCACTCGAGCCAACACCGACGAGGTCTGCCGCCTGCCTCCTTAAGGGTCCCGTCTCTCTGTCGTGTCCTGCATGCTAGAGGGGGATCCGCTTCCACATGGCGTCCGAGGAAAAGTGACAAGTCGGTCACCAGTCGTTAAGCTCCCGCAGATCGTCGGCTTCTAATCTTTAGCACACGGCTAAATCCCTAAACCGTTGTCTTAATCCGACGTCCCGCCAAATGGCTCCTCTGGCACATGCCATCTTTGGCAAGAGATATTTGCCTGTCGTCAGGATACACTGATATATTCCAGCATATGGCAGTCTTGCCCAGGAGAGCCAGTGATCCCGTCTGACCAAATATTTTTGGTCCTACTATGGCACCATATCATGGACACCGTGATTCAAAACACATAGCTGACATTGACAACCCCCGATGGAGATGAGGGGTTGAGATGGAACGGCTAACGGAGTAGCCTATTGTCCTGAAAAGAAGAAGCTTTATATTACGACATCTTACACTCGGATTTTTATTCCCATCCAAACATCAACCTCCGCTGCTACCTCGCTAAAGGCAGACTTTTCTAGTATGTACGAGATCGCTCCCTAGGGACGGGTTGGATTTAAGCATTCCAATTTGGTCGCCAGAACCTCGTGGTCGTACAAGAGTCTCTCACTGCTCTCCTAGGGCGGAAACATCCCATCAAGTACGGAGTAGCTGGCTGTCTTGATCTTTAGACCAACAATCTGCCAACTCTTCAGCCACCATGGCAGACGAGACACATCAGATTTGCCAGTTGGTTCCTCGGAAATGCTTGACTTTTGTGTTGATCGGATACTGTCACTGGTCCCTCAAATATGCAAAGGGGGCTAAGCAGCCACACACCCATTTGGAAGACTTCAATAGCCAGTCTTGCCGTGCACACGCATGGTATTCTGCTAGAGCGCGTCTCTCTCCAAACCTCTCTTCTGGGCTGGATACATACACGCCGTCCCAGGAGGCTCTCTCGAAGTCAAGGTCCAGTGAACTGTCCATCTGGCCACCGTGGAGTCGTGCGTACTACGGGTTACTCCATGCTCTCTATGCTGCCTTGTGGACATCTGGCTCCTTTACTAAATTCATTCGGATTTCGACTTCCAATTGCTCTCCGTCCGCGAAGAAATACTTCAATATCAGGTATGGGACTGGATGTCATTTTTTCTGCTTCGCTGTTCGAATACGAAATGCCACTGTCCCGTGGATGTTAGCGACACAGTTAGACCACAACTCCGCCACATCATTAAGGCTGAGAACAAGTTCGTCTACTAGATCAAACATGATTCCCATGGCGTAAAGACACGTCCGAGGGCAGGCAAGGTTGCATCAATGGACGGATGTTTGCGCAGTGTTCGTTTCAGCATCGGAGAGGCCCTCTTGTTCAACCAGATCCGTACACGGTCGGCGCGAGTGCCCAGTCTTTCCATAGACCTGATTCGGGTTGCCAGTCGCGAGCCATTGAAACATGACTTGATGTATGTCTCAATCCGCCAATTATTAACTACCTAGATACTCCGTACCTAGGTAGCTAGTTGACTGCCATCACCATCGACCATGTGCGTCGTTCCCACACCCACCAGAGAACCTTGCATCTGTTGCCTAGTGCGCGCAACCAACAGGCGACGAATGCATATGCTCTGGTTGCCTCGTCGTTTTGTTTACCAACGCCTTGCCGCCTTCAGGTTCCCTAGTCCTGCCAGCCCCGGAGTTTGAGCTGAAGAGCGGGAATATGTGCACCATCCATTGCCTGGGTATCGCAGACCGATTGAATCAAAGGACTAGTTCATGCCCCATGTGTACAATACATATCTTGGTTCCAAAAGTCCTGTGGCGTTGGGAACTTGGATGGTGCACTCCCGAAAAGAGTTTGGCCCTACACGCCGGTTTGCGCGAAATGTTTGTGTAACCCCAACACAGTTGGGATAGGAAAGAAATGACCTAGAGCCAGGTACTGCGTATCCCATACTCTGTGCGACATCGATGATGACTGAGACTGTCACAACATGTACTCCGTACTGGGTTGCATTCAAGCGGGCCATTTCTTAGTCGCTTTCCTTCCTCGCCCGGCTAACACTCCAAATTTGTCGATCAGCAAAATGATGGACAACGGCTGACATAGACATTCTTCAACGGCGAGCTGCTCCGCCGTTTAGGTGATCCTCCACGGAGTACGGAGTAGGCCAACAGGAAACGAGAATATGCTGATTGTGGCGTTGTTACTGACCAAGACATCGCTAGGACCCAGTGGAAAGGCCACTCGGTAATCCAGGCCTTCGAGAGCAAACCCTAAGAATCAAAAACCAAATATAGTATGTAAGATCGGGGCCGCCCAAACGTTTCGTGCGGGTGATGTAGACGTTGCTAGATGCTCTCCACCGCCGATAGACAAAGAATTACGGAGTAATCCATTGCGAATATATCCGTCCCTGCGCCAATACTAGGGCAAACTACGTGGACGTCGCGCTTGCCTTGTCTTCTAACAATGTGGCCATAGCTTGTTGATCAATTTCAGCCCAGGGAGTTGAATTACTAGCGACAAGGTCATAACATCATCCCGCTCAACCCTGGAGTTCACCCAAGTGTCCCAATGCCATCTCAAACCATGGTTCGCTATTCGACTCTTCGCAAGCATACGACAAGTGTTTCTCCATCAGCCACAAGTGCCCAAATTCCCTAAACACAGTTGATGGATCGGGGGAGGGTCAATTTGCTCTTTAAGGGACGGCAAGATCTGCATTCAGAAGATGCCGCTGAGACTATGAGGCAGCGCAACATGCGCACGGCGCTCTGTGCGCCGTGGTTATGTCCGGCGGCAGCCGTGTTCTGCAAAATGCACCAACTGTTGATCTCATGCATGGTGCGGGAAGACCGACAGAGCTGGGTTCTGGGGTGGGAAACAAGATGACTGGGGGACGCAACAATCAGGCAGGCTGGGGTGGGTTGGAAACATCGTTGCCTCTGCGTGCGGACAGGCGCTGGGATCGCCGAGAGGTAACTGAATGCCAACAGGATGGGGTTTGTGATGAGTCATTTCCAATACCGAGAGCGATACCCAGTGACGGGTTTCACATATTCCGCTGTTGAGTCCGGGGTAGAAAGCAACTGACTTGATTGATCGTAAGTGATGCATCCTGCAGCAAAACAACAGGGTTGTTTTTTTTTTTTTTTTAAAGGGTTGTGAGATGAAATACATACGAATAGACCAGCTCAGTCCATGATTTGATCCACAAACAGCCACCACGCCGGGGCAATCCTGAGGCGGCAAAGGGGTTTTTGATTAGAACAGAGACTTCCAGTCGGCTCTCCCCTATCATCTAGCCTTCCCGCTCTAGCATACATGCAATCGCACTATCATCATATGCCAACATAAGAATTATTACAAATAGCATGATGAATAGTCATCACTCATTGCGCACATGAACCCATTATGAATCCGCCGTGAATTTCGAGTCTCATCCCGCATGCATGCCCAGATCCTGCTCGCCAAAAGCTGGTATATTGTTGAACTGGTACCCTGTTATATCATCTTCATGCCGCAGGACGTGCCGTGAAACAACGCAGTAGTCGCAACGGACATGTTCACAGGTAATACAACTTGGCGAAGTCCTAATATTTAAGAAGGCGCCACAGCCGCACTATCAAATGTCAGTAAACTTACGGCGTCTTGGATCAAAGGAGCGTGCTTACACAATCCCACATCAATATATCGCTTGGACTCTGTTTCTTTCCAAGCGGCTGGGACTCGAGATTTGTTGGTTCTGCTTTCCTCTTGCGGAATTCGTTTATATCTGGCGGGCAAAACGTAATGGGGGTGCTCTGCGTTGCACTGCTTAGAGCCTCTGCGATATCTCCACGATTCTCAGGCTCAGGATATATCCATTCGTCTATGCTCTTCTGCTCCATGCCGTCTTTGCCGCAAAAGTGGTTATCGATGTGGTCAAACTTCGTGGTCCATGTTGCTGTTGCTGCTGCGTCAATGTTTTTGACACAGAAGCCGCACCAAAAATTTGAAGCACTATTTGCGCCACGTCGACACTGCTCTACCTTCTTTTCTATGGCTTCAGGTCCGGCGAACATGTGTTCCTTGATTAGATGCGCTTTGAATGTCTCACGACGATTCCAACTCCTCTTTGGGCAAGAGCTCAAATCGCATGTCCATGTTTCCATATGATAATGCTGTTTGCATTCGTGTCGTTTCCAGTCGTTCTTACTACCAAATGTCTTGGAACATCCCTTCCATGTGCATGCGTATGGCTTCGAATGTCTTTTCAAATGCTTCCTACTTCGATGTTAGCTTGGTCTTCAAGACAGGAGGAAAATGTGACTGGCTCAACAGAAATACGTACGTCAACTCACAGGGTCGCCTAAACCTTTTTTGACACATATGGCATGCATTCTGACTCTTGGCTGCTGTATCGAGATCAACAATGCCCTGATTGTCGCCATCCAGGTCAGAAGCACATAGCACAGCTACGAGGGCATGCCGAGTCTCTTGAGACAGTTTTTTAACATGGTCTGTAAGACTAGACGGTTGACCTACTGGAGTAGGGAGCTGTAACCTCTTAACAATGTCCATAATAGCGTTGTGATCTGTTCCATGGCCAGCTTGCGAAGGTGGCGCTGCTGATTCAAGAGGCTCCGGAACAATTCCAGCGGGAGAATTTGGACGCTCCAAGTGATTGGAAATACATGCGTCGGTCTCATCATTATCCATATCGGCATCATTCGTTTCTCCGTCATTGGTTGCAATCCCGGGATGTTGCAGGCTTGCGATCATGCCGACATTCTGCGGCGGAGGATCCATCACCCTGTGATTGCTCACAAAATCGAAGTCAAGTGGCCTGTTTTGTGCAGTCTCCAATGAAGAGCCAAGTAAATCGTCATTTAGTCCTTGTCCCAGCACGTGGGGGGTGATGTATTGGGGCTCCCCAGAGGACTCAAAGTGGTTAGAGTTGTTCTGCCAAAATTTCCTCAGACGTTGCTCTGTGAGAGCATTGACTTGACCTCCTGTCAAATTTGCAAGTTGCTTTACATAGGTACCCTCTGTTTGAGGAGCCATGAGATCTGGAAGAGTCCCCACCCCTGTCAGGTCGTGTTGCGCGGCGTCTCTATTGCTCCTTTGTGCAATATCTGGTGAGGTCTCAGGCTGTGACTGGCTACGAACAATATATCGATCCAGATTGTCCATAACATTGGCGTCAATATTATGTATCCTCGCAAGATGTGCAATGAAATTATCCTTCCTGGGCCATTCTTGCTTCTTTCGTCTGTTCTGCTTACCAGGCTCGGTCAAACAATGAGTGCAGTTATAGACAATGGAGTTGCTCTCATTGCGGCACTCATCCCGGTGAACAGTTCTCCTGTGTCTTTCAAGGTCATTCGCCGTCGCAAACCCTTTGTGACATGTCGGGACAATACATTTATAGGGCTTCGTGTGCCGATTCTTATGCTTTCTAGACCATTCGGTTAGTGCTGTTGAAAGGCAAAGAAGACTTGGATTATTCAATTATTCATATTTTTGGGGGGCTATTTGGAATGACAGTACCTTAGTTCTGATTTGTTCTTGGCCTTGAATTCATTGCATATGCCGCACTGTAATTGGGACCAATTGCCTTCCTGTCCGGCGTCGATGGAAGGGCTTGTGACAGTTTGGGATACACGACTACCGCCATAACCAGAGTCATCGTGGCTCGCATATATGCCCACATTGTGGTGTATGTCGCCGGAATAAAAGGGCTGTTGTTGTTGACGTGCTGGTAGCTGCGCGTCAAGAACGTTCTGGTCCTGTTGTCTTTCTAGGGCAAATGGTGCTATGACGCCTGTCGGGATAAATGGGTCGTTGGCAACATCCGTTGTAAACTTTTGGAAAACAAACTCCTGTCTCGTACTGTCGCCGCCCGGAGGCATTAAACGCTCCTGAGTCCACGGGTCCATGCTGGACTGTTGACGTCTTCCATCAGTCCATCTTCTATTCCTCTGATAGGTTTGACGGCCCCTACCGAGGGGATTTCGAATGCCAGGTTGCATTCTCCCGAGCTAGGTCAATACGACACGTTAAAGAGTGATGCCTGAGCAGAGCAGCCTACTCCAATGAAAATACAGGCAGCGGTGAGAAGATGGCTTGCTCCTGAAGAGACGACCTGATGAAATGGATCGCGACTCTGGGGTGAAAGAGCAAGATCACTTGCGACGTAAGACCGAAACGCCGTAACAAGCGAGGATCTGTAGAGATACTAGATGATTGATATGCGGAAGGCTAATCCTCCGGATAATTGGCTATGTTTCGAGGTGAACTTCGATATACCGCGTCATCTAGCAAAGAGAAAGCTTATAGTGCCAAACGAGGTCGGTATAGAGTTCATGATCCACTGAGGCGACTCCAAAGGATGGATGCGCAGGGCTCCAAGACAAAAGTTGAAATGAACAGTTTCCAGAAAGGTGAAATTGCAACCAGTAATGGATTTGAGATGCAAGTTGGCGAAACGGAGAGGGTGAAGACTAGGGTCATAGAGTATCAAGCTCTGTCTCGAGTGAGCGTGATGAACCAAATGCGGAGGTGGCACAAGAAAAGCAGCAACGCAAGACAACTCAAATTCGGTCACAAATCGTGAATGGCAAACCGAACCCCGGTGACATTAGCATGGGATGCGAAAGCCGGCTTGGGGATACACGTCACGATGGAAGAAGAGAGCGCAGTGTGTGGCGCCGAACAGCAGGTGGCCGGGTCGAGGATGCAGGTGCGAGATGGCTTATTCGTTGACCAAGGCCAGGTCAGCACATGACAAAGCTGGCCAAGAAAACAAATCCATCAGAGGATGCGACGCAAAGAGTGTTGTGAAACGGAGAGAGAGACGGGGAATGGGATGATGGCGATGGCGATGGCGATTCAAAGAATCAGCCACGGGACATGAGGAACCTCGAAGGGCGGTTGGCGGTTGGGTGCTTAGGCGTGGTCCCAAGGGAAGGAGCAATGGGCCTACGGAGGAACTGCCGTCGATGACCTGGTGCATGTGGCTTGCTGGCACTTTGACTGCCCTTTGTCCTTTGACTAATCCTTTGGCTCCTCTCTCTTTTCTCCCTGCTACTAACTACGGAGTACTCCATACGGACTTCGTACCAGTCTCCATACACCTTGTCTGCATGTCTGCTTGCGTAGTGCTTGCATGTTTGTCTGCATATTTCGTCTGCACCTCAACTCGACGAGCCATCCATTGCTAACATCTAACAGCAGTCACTTGGCCAACTCGAAAGATGAGAAGTGGAGGTGGTGCGCCCTGCCGTTCGCCTCACTTTCCCAAGGCTGCCCGTCAAGTCGTCCACCCCGTCAAGATTGCTGCAGCAGTGCAACATGCCTAGGACAATGCATGGGCCACGCCCTTTGCATCGTTGAAGCCCACTTGGACTCTCATCAACCTTGAGCTTTCGGTGAAGATTGATCCAATCAACAACAGCCATGCCCGCCGGAAAATCCGGTACCTCCCCCGTGTACTCTGTATCTCTGAATAACCAAGGGTTCGATGTCAAGCTTGGTGCTTTCATAAAAGTCGTCGACATCCTAACAAGGCGACCATGAGGCAACCAGGAGGGGTCCAAAATGGTGGAATTGACCACACGCCCATCCCAACGGCGTTGGCAAGCCCTTTGTTTGCGCCTGATCTAGCCATGTCGAGAACCCTCTTCTGCGCAACAACACCCTGCGAAATATTTCTGGTGTATCCCACACCCTTGATAACGATGGACCATGCATTTAATGGCGTCATTGTTAGTCCTGACAGTTCTCCAGGGTAAGGAGTAGAGATGCTCAGACGCGATGAAAATTACACACGCAAGTCATACAAATTGCATGAACAAACACTACCATACATTGTTGCCTCTACCGTGGCAATAATACGAAGCCATGTCAATCGAAGACGTGGTGCTTCGTCCTCTGCAGAATAGACTATTCACTTCTCATCTAATGCTCCATGGGTCGGGTGTGGTTAGGTCCAAAGGACCCAAGTCGTCTCGCAATATAATGACTACGCAACCCAAAGCCGAGCCCTTTCATCTCACATTGCACACTGGAGTGCGGAGTACTCTCGCCATTTCTTGGCATTTCTGGGCCCAACATCCCAATACATAACTGATGGATGGACACAAACCAGGAGCGTTCCAACTTGGTCCAGCGGACAGAGCAGAGAGGAAAGAGACAAGAGGATCGGGTTTTGGTTGTGCTATAACTCGAAGCATGGAGTAATCAGTGGCCGAAGGATGTCGAGGGCATGGAATCTTGGGCCAGACTTTTAGTCTTCTCTTTCCCCCTTTTCCCAAAATGGTTACTCCATGTCCAACCTTGTGTAACAACAAACCCGTCGTGCTATTGTCAAGCCACTTCCGCATCACGTCGGAAATATTGTCATGTTGGACAACTTTGGCGGCAATAAGATGAGAAGACGTTTTCACTGCAAATGGGTTATGCCGGAGACAAAAAAAACTCGGGTTGTTTGCGTTGCGTTTGCATTATCTGGCAATTGTGTTCGAGGTCTTGATAACACAATGACATCCTCGTATCTGGGCCAATGAATGAAATGAACTTGTTTCTTTTCTCTTTTTTTTTTTCCTTTTTTTCTCTACTGCAGTATACCTGTGATAGTAGCGCTATTCCATATTTTCAGCTCCCTCGACGACACCGACGACATTATAGCGCTTGGAGAAGAAAATGATCCAGTCATTGAGCGTCTCTTTCTCCTTATCCTCCAAGTCATGCCACTCAGCCTTGACATCTTCTGGCTTGGTAGACGTCTTGCCGAGGGCCCTTGACGCATCTTTTCCTGCAAAGACTATTGTTCGACATGTCAGTTTTACGTTCCGGGCTGAGCCGATTTCTTGCGTGGTTTCACAAGACGCACCGTGATATGATCCCCCGGGCTGGTATGCCTTGTTGCCAGTCACATCGTACACTTTGCCCTGCAGACGATAGATCAGTTGACGCACTCCGAAAGCCAAATAGTTTTGAACAATTTGAAAACAAAGAAGAAGCAAATTCTTCTTTTCTTCAGTTCACAGCCCAAGCATACCTTGATGGCCACGTAACACTTTCCACCATCCACGCCTGCATTTCGCTAGTTAGTATCACAAGCCCAAGGTCTGTGTCATGCTCAATGTGCGCAATCGTCCGGAACCTCCGCTCCAAAAGCAAAGAGATGGCAATCCACCTCTTCGTCTCGGGCTCAATTGTGAGTCGATACTATTCCAACGCGGGCGAAACAGCAAACATTCGTTGGTTTTTGGTGATTTTGCAACCGCACGGACACACACGCACACGCACACAACAAACACCTCTCTCACATGGAGTCGGCGATTCATGGAGGGGTCAGATGAATCAACATACCGGTTGCCTTTGCCAGCTCCTCTACGGAGATGGGGTCATTCTTGGGCGGATTCAACTGGACGGGGACCTTGGGCTCGAATCTGCCAGCCATACTCAGTTGTCTTGCAAATAGCGTGAATTTGAGTGGTTTAGCAACAAGGTCCGATGATGGATGGAACGCAGCTTCATGGCCGCCTCGGTCATGGAAACTCCCCACCTCGGGCCGCACATATCATGACGCACGGACCAAGTCAGGACTAGCGTCGATTGCCCGAGAGCAAAAGCGTCACTGCTTTTTGTGAGATGTGAACAAATTTTTGGAGCATGGCGCTCCAACCATTTCGCGCGGCAGTGCGCACGAATATCGCTGCAATGTCTGTCACGGCGATTGCTTCATTCAGGCCCTTGCCAAGGAGGTGTCTTCTGCATACCAGGACGGGGTTATTATCGGTGCAAGTCGAGTCACGATCCGCGAGCTTGAGCCTCCGAGCCGTGGTGAAGTTGCAGCCGCATCAGACGAGATATCAGTCGAGCGCGTCAGGAAACAAAAATGAGCCGCCCAAGCAAGAGAAGCCAGATAAACCGCAGACATCTTTTCGGCAATTTATCGGGCGTGCGCTGGGAGCTAGTCTGCGCAATTTGGCTGTCGCATTGAGCCCTCGTGGAATTCGAACCGCGTACAAGGATTCGCCTGTTGTGACGAGCATGAATATCATTCTGTACATACTTCTAATCCCCCAATTGCCATTCACGCGGCTGTACGATGTGCTGATTCCTCTTTCTAGGCTCGCATTCACTCTTGCCATATCCGTCATCGCCATCCGCTCCTACATTCTCAGTTTCTACAACTCCGAATTCAGCCGGTACCCTGAACCTGTGGCAAACACCTTGCGACGGGCTATTTACTACACCAACTACAAGCCCGACCCGGAGATGGCGCTGAAATATTACAAAAAGGCCATGGAGCAAGTGAAAGAGGTTGGGCTAGACCCCTTCTCAGACGAAGTGCTCGGCATTCGCATCCAGGTGTCGTTTTGGCTGCAAAAGATTAATAACTACAAGGGATCTGTTGATGTGCTGGAGTCCGTGTTGCAGGATTGCAAGAAGTGGGTTGGTGTGATGGAGCAATCCGTCGCTGACGGCAAAGTGAATGAAGCTGGCAGATACGTGACCGGACCTACAGGAACCCAACCTGCCGGCAGTGAAACGGTCACTGTCGCTCCTCCTAAAGACAGCTCCGCCAAGGCGTCCGATACGACGACGAAGAACGGTGAGCCCGAGCCCGAGGTCGAGACCGAAACACTCTGGCGGAAGAGACAGCGACTGCTAGCCAAAGCCATCGGCACGGCAGTCAAGCTAGGCGAGATGTACGCCGACGAACACGTCCTCGAGCCCGACAAATCACACGACCACCTAGTATGGGCTGTAGAGACATCCCTTAAGGAGTTCAGCCGCCGAAAAGTTGATGGCATCAAGCCCGGCGAGCAGGACTGGCTCTCGCCCCCGGAACTCGGCGGCATGATGGAATCCCTGGGCCGAGACTACGAGCGCCGGTCTCAATTCCAACTCGCCGTCCCCTTGTTCTTCCAGGCCCTCAAGCTCTGCGAGAGCCCGTGTCACAGGGCCGTCATCATGAACAACCTAGCCGCATGCTTCGCCCAGCACCCCATCTTCTCTCCCAACGCGGTAGAGGTCTCCGTGGCCATTCAGCAAATCCCCGACCAAGCCGCGCTCCCGCAGACACGCAAGGAGTGCCTCGAGGCGGGGCTGAACTGGGCCCAGAATGCCTACGTCCACGGGAAGGATGTCAAGGGCGACGACAGGACGGCCGAGTGCGACGAGGCATGTGCCGTGGCTCTGTGCAACTGGGGTGACGTGGCTGCTATGCTCGGGCAGAAGGAACTCGCACGACAGAAGTATAGGCAGTGTATAGAGATGAGTCAGGAGATGGAATTTGCCGACGGTCTTAGGCAGGCCCAGGAGGGACTCACCAGATTGACGACCACGCCTGGCAGCAAGGTGTGATGAAACAACACAGCAATGGCGTCAAATGAATCAAGCAAGCGCGCATTTCAATGCCTTTGTCAGGAAAAACAGAGGGCGCAGTTTGCAGAAACCAATGTAGATTTAACAAAACATCACCCTTTCATAAGAGACGTATAACAGAAAGAAATGTACTATTAAACCATTCTCAACCATGATGTGCGTCCCAAAATTATCCCAGTACAGAACCTACACAGACACCAAGTCGGCATCAAGCTCTCCGTCACCGCCTCTCAAACCGTCCCTCAGTATCTTGACCTGCTTCTTCATCTCCCGCCACAGCACCAGCTTCTCCAGCTCGGGGTCCTCGTCATCCTCTGCACTATCCAAGACTTCCACCCAGTCATGCGCCACATCAACCGTCAACACGTCCATTGCTGTGATGATGCCATCCGGCTTCTCGTCCCGCGCAATCGCCAGCAAGGCCGCTACAAACGCCTCCTGCATGTACGCAAAGCTGAACCTGCTCGTGATTCGGGCAATGGCGTCGCACAACTTGTCAGGGAAGCTGATTTCCTTGTTGTCCTTGAGCTTGGCTTGCCAGAAGTGGCAGTAGGCTATTCGCTCGCGGAGATTAGGGTTGGGGAACAAGTATTTGCGATCGAAGCGGGAGGGTCGTTTCTGTAATTTTGTTCTCCCCCCCGCAGGAAGCACATGTTAATTCACACCAATGTGTTTTTCTGAGGGTGGGTTTCACGTACGGAGATGCCTGGGTCCAGACGTTCGAGATGGTTGGTGCTGCCAATTATGAAAATGCCATCGTTTTCCTTGAGCCCGTCCACTTCGTTGAGAAAGTAGCTCCTTACCGAGTCAGATACCAGCGAGTCGAGGTCTTCGAAGACGAGGTAGCAGGGCGCGAATTGTCGTGCCTTTGAGAATATGGATTTGATAGAGTACTCTGGGCCCATGAACTGTGGTTTTGCTCTCACTTAGCCAAAACAAAACCTATTATTTTTTTTTTCCCTTTTTCTCTCTCACGGCCAATCCATAAGGATATGGGAAAGGGGAAGGGGGCTGATAACTCACCGAGGCCAGCGACCTCACGTACAAGGTCGGGATTTCAGGCTTCATGTTGTATAGAGTATGCATCATTGCCTTGATGGAAATAGTCTTGCCGTTGCCCGGGGGTCCGTAGTAGATGATGCCTCTCTTCCAGGGCACCTTTAGCCGGCGATAGGTGTCCTCGGACTGGAAAAAGTACAAGTGGTCATTGATCAGGTCCTTCTTCATCTGGGTGTCCAAAATGACGGCATCCCACGAGGCCTTCATGACGCTCTGGTACAGTGCGGCACTCTTGGACCAGTACCCGCCGTCATAGACCCAAATCTCTTCATGGAGCGAGCTGGTCCATTTCCCGGCGGCAAGGACGAGGGCCTCGGATTGATGCTCGTCGCTGGACAGGAGATAGGCATATGTGTAGCTGCTGAGTCCCGAGGAGCCATCTAGCCCATGGGCGACGTACAGGATGAAGTCGTAAGCCTGCCATTGGTAGTGGAATTTGCCGAATCGAATATCCTGGGCAATAAGGCCATTGCTGCCTCGGGCACTTCGCTGGGCCGGGTGGTAGGCGTTGATGGTGACGGATGATGGGAGGCCCGAGTTGGCGGCGTCGTCAGCGAGCGGGATGCATTTCGCGAAGCCGTTTGCTGCGAAGCCCAAGAGGTCGACCTCGCTGAGGATGGAGAGTTTGAGACTGGGGTACTGTTCCTTGAGAGAGGCAGCGAGGATGGTGTTGGTGCTGGAGGCCTGGCCGGAGAAGTGCTCAAAGTATTGTCTCGTCGTGTTATTTGCTGCGACTTTGGGTGTGCTCCATCCGGTGAGCGAACCGGCGGTAGTATGAGACTGGTGGTCCATGATTGTCCTGGTATTTCCTTACATGGCACAGGTGAAGATGCCAGATGTTGTCGTCGAGTTGCGGGGTTGGTTGGAGAAATGCTGGCCGACGGAGGACGTTTCGGAGCACCGAACGACAATTAGCTTTTGCCCAGACTGCTCCGTAAGGCCCGTACCGAGATGATGGGAAATTGAATCATTGGTCCCGGCGACTGTCCATGGGCCATTGGTCGTCCCAGTTCCTGGTGGAATCATGCCCCAGTCGTGAGTCGTGACAGGCGAAACGTCCAATGTTGGCAAAAGACTGCCAGTCAGCGACCAAGTGGACGAGCCACTCAAGTAATTCACCACTGTTAGAGAGAAGACGGCTTGCTCGTTCATACATCATTGGCATACGCTAGAATGTGGCACTCCTCCTCCTTTGTGCATGCGTTCGCCACACATATTGATTTTGATCCGCATGGGCTGGTGTTTTGGGTGAGTCTATTTCTAATTGCCTTTCCAAACCGACTTTTTTTTCAACATGGCAAGAGCCACTTACACTGCTCAAGTTTCGGAGGCCCATTGACTCTACAAGCCGGCGACAAGCACATCATCCCAATCCTCTCTACTCACCCTCGCCTCGCTTTCGCCTTTCCCTCGCCAACGCGTCTTGGGCTCAGTCCACCATTCCAATTACGAATCTGCGGATGGATTCACACAGACGACCCCCGTCGTGGCACTGCCCTGCACCAACTGCGCCACAGGTCATATAGGCCATGATGCGTTATCATGGTCCAACACACCCAACAACCACTAGAACCAGACATTTTGAAAGCTCAAATTAGTTCAACCAATGCATCTGCCCAGCACTATGCCCACGTCCCTCCCATTCCATCCTCGATCCGCCACAGCCGCCATCGGCATCCGCCCCAGCGGACTGGCTCGCTTCCGTTTCTGCCTCGACTCGACGCTGATGTCGTCGTCGTCCTCTCCATCCGCCTGTCGCTTCGTTCGCGACTTGGAACCAACCCGAGCGCGAAACGACGCGGCCATCGTACTGCCCATATCCAGATCTAAACCTAACTTTATTATATTCCAGTCGTTCCGTAGCATGTAATCCAGTGAACAGTGGCAAAATGCCAAGCTTCAACATCGTGATGAAAAAAAGCCACGCCATCCATCACCCATGGATCATCAATCTGGAAGTCCATCCTCAGCGGAACTTGTGCCCCAAACCGCAGCAACCGCCTCGCCACCAATTCCAATCTCATGGCTAGACGTTCTCGAATGCATGCAGACGCTTCCAGGATCGCAAGCGTCCAGCATGGCGGAAACACACGTTCCCATGGCATATCCGTATCTCGATGCCCTCCATCAGTTCCCAGTGAGCCCCTGTCCAACAACCCACGAGCAACGACCAAACAGCCACAAAAACCTAAAATCCAACTGTACACAACACGGAATTCATAAAAGACACGCCATTCGTGTACACAAGTCCAACCAGCGCGGCCAGCGAACCATCCGCGCCGCACCTATCCCAAGACACAGAGGCCAGGCCTCCACGGCGAAGGGAGAATCGATATCGCAACGCTCCCCCGAGCGTCCAGTCCGTGCGTCAGGCATCACCAGTAGTCGTGTTTGGACAAGCCATGAACTAGTTGACCGCCCCATCCCATACAGCGGCGCCGGGCGCAGAATCGTGCTTCGCAAAGGGCGTACCGGGAGCGCAAGGAGCAGCGAATCCGCGACCTGGAGCAACTTCTCCAGGAGGCACGTCGGCGTGAAGAGACGCTCACGCAGGCGTACTTGTCCCTGCGGACGGAATATGAGAGAGTTAGCGACGAGCAGGAAGACGGGTCGAGTATGGGGACAACTACGCCCGTCACCGGCGAGACGATACCAGCTCGCCTCGATGCAGCTCCCATGCAGCAGCACTCCTCTGATGTTGTGGGCGGCTTTAACTTCTCGACCAATGCGTACGAGTAAGCCGACAACACCCAGCAATAGCGCAATTTGTCATGACTTACAGACACAGTTTTATACCTAGATAAACGCGTTTCACAGCCTACATTTAGACGAGCCTGGTGTTCAATAGCGCTGAGAGTTTTTTTTTGAAAGAAAAATGGTTTTTATCCATTACCGGTGCCGGCGTCCGGTACGTCCTGTCCTGGTCCATAGAATGATTATTAATAGTCGTCATTTCCGCTCAAGAAATACATACATGTCCCTGTTCCAGCCCAAAATAAGTACGCCATAACACCGTCATGAACCAGCTACAGTGTCTGTTTAAAATTACCCCGTCTTCTGTCTCTTCGCATCGAGACCGGCCACCCCTGTTGTAGCGGCCGCATCCGTTCCGTTGCCTTGGGCAGGTGTGTTGGCTGGTAGGTCAACCAAAGGGACTCTTGCCGTGCCTGTCTCACCAGGTAAAGGTCTCTTCATTGTGGGTGGTCTATAGCTTCCTCTGTTTGCTAGGGGGCTTCCAGGACCCCCAGGCGCACCAATCCTTCGTGCTTGGTCAAGAGATGGGTTGACCAGATTGGCTCTAGTTGCCGGTCCCCCTGGTCGGACTGGAGTAAAGCCAGTAGCGCTAGATGACGGTGCACCAGACTGGCTGTTCGCCGGCGGGAGGTGTTGTCCGTTTCTGGAAACCGGTTTCGACGATGTATGGTCAATCCCAGGCGTTTTCCTGATTGACGGGCTTTCAGCTTTAGGATTGAAAGCTTGGGAGTTGGCCAGCCCCTGTTCCCTGGCATCAATATTGCGGCTGATAGATCTAGCGGAGAAAAACATTGCTGTCTCGCCCCCCGGAGGAGGCATTGGCGGGGCAGGCATATTGTTCATCTGCGGCGAACCTGGAACGGCGCTACCAGATTGCACATTTCCACCACTATTCGGTGTTTGCGGTGCTCGATTCCCGGAACCTCCTGACATAGCCCTAGTTGTTGGCCGGCTTGGTCCCTGTGCTTGTGCTTGCCCTGGCTCTTTGGATGGCGGCTTCGAATGCTGTACTTGTGTCCGCACGGAGCCCGGCTGGTGAACAACGATTTCGTCCGGATGGCCTTCTCCTGGAACACAGAAGTCGGCCTCGTCGAGTTCTACTGATATTCAGTTTCGATTTCTTCGAACCCGTCTGAGGAGAGCATACCACCGAGGAAGTCTTCAAAAGACTCCGTAGCTTCCACCTTTAGAGTAGCTGGCCCAGTCGTATTCTTGACAGGCCCGGCCGTCACAGGTGTCCCACTCATCGAGGCGTCCTTCTTGACAAAGTCTGAATGTCTGTGGAGATTATCTTGGTCAAATTTTTTCACAGGCTGCGCCTTGACCTTCGTGACCTGTTTCACGTAGTCTGCATCGTAGATGCAGTTGCCAAGAACATTTCCAAAGCTTCGGAGCGCCCTCTTCAGTCCGTCTGTTGTACCTTCTTTCTTGGCCTTTTCAAAGGCCATTGCCTTTCCCTTGGCATTCTCTATTGAGCCGTAACCGATGTCTTCGTGGTATGTTCCATCTCGCAGCGTAACCCGAACGATCACCGAGAGGCCGATGCTGACGCGCTGGGTTTGAGGGTTTTCGTCGGCAAAGTCGACTTGAATATTCTGTATGGATGATGACCATCCATTGAATCCAAACACTTCGTTGGCTAAGCCAATTACTTTCTCAGCTGTGAGGTAATGCACGCGTGAACCACCAGGTCCAGACCGAGACGAAATGTATTCTGGGCCGAGTTGCTTGTCAAGTTTCGAAGCGATCGTGGCAATTTCTTTGGCTGTCCAGCCCGACACTCGTGGTTTAGCCTCCTCAAATGGGTTTGCCCATGAGGTATGTTGGTCGCCTGGGCTGCTGGCAATTGTCAGTGAACGGCCTCATACAGAAGACCAGAGGGGATGCACGCACGCAGGCATGATAAGCCAGAGTCAGAGCACTGTGTTTCATCGATTTTTAGATTTCGTGTATGGATTCCGATGATTAGCGTCGTCAGGGAGTGCACCGTCATTCAGTAGTCACCGCTGACCACCTTGACATCTGGGGTGCAGTTGCGTCGCGTTCCTCAGCTTCGACGCGTCTGACTTGGAAAACGGGTGAGCACGTGATGTGATGGCAACTTCGAGATGATGGAGTCAGCAGCAATCTCGGCAAGGGCCGTAATTGCCCCACCTTGATAAGATCCGTCACTCCCTAACTCCGTAATCATCAGACCAGTTAGTGGCTATTTATATCCATTGATTGCCGAGACAAAAGTGCGAATGTGATGGCAGTTTAAGCTCACAACATGTTAGGACTAGTCGTCGTTGGTTACAGTGGTTGACGTGGCCGAGTTGCTATAAATATATCCAGACCTTAAACAGCGAATGGACGACACATGTTCTGGTAATGCCAAAAGCAGGAGCCACCGAGTTTAATATTACCAAAATAATGGGTATGATGAGGTTTGCGTTGCCCAGAGTTGAGGTCTTCCTCCGCCAAGATTTTACTACCTACACAGTGTAGAGAATGTATGCATACAGAGGAGCCGCTTTACATTCGCGGGGACAAGATGACAGAAAAAAATGTAGGAATGAAGAAGCCCCCAAATGCAAGCAAACCAGCAACAAGGATTCCTACTATTCTCAAAATAGCAGAAGGGAAAATGCAACGCAGGTTCACAAAAAAAAAACGCCAAGTCATCCAGGGTGTGCATGAAGTATCAACTCCCAAGTCTATGCTGCCTTTAATGCAAAAGAAAGGTCGTCATCATGTGTCGTGAAATTGTTGTCCGCGATAGTGTCACCAGGGACAATATGCCAGCTCTTTTTTTCTTTTTTCTTTTTTTTTTTTGTGTTCACATTTGTAGAGAATCGAAGATTTTACCAAGGCCCAACCCGTACGGGGGACCCGTATGAGCCGGACATGAGTTGGTTGAGAATAGAGTGCTGTTCAGGCGGGTTGCCTTGTGTGCTAGGTCCCGGACCCATCCAGCCTACACTGCTAGCCATGGCGGACATGGCAGTGCCGAGGCGCCCTCCTGACTGTTCATTGTGACGAGACAGCGTCTGGTCCCATCCGCCAGTGTGCAAGTTAAGACCGCCACCTCGTTTACCAGCCTCGGTGATGACCAGAGCCCAGGCTCGTGAAATATCATCGTATGCACTTTCCTTGTGATGGCGGTAGGCTTGGGGTTCCCAGTTGGGCAGGTCGTGGATAAGTTTTGTGGCGCCATCAAGGAACTGCAATGATGTAGTCGGCTGTGTCTCGATAGGTGGGAGGTATTGGGGTGTAAAGTCGGATAGAGCATCGATGAGGGCAGTCAGGGGTTCCTTGACTCGATAATAGGTATATTCAGGGCTTGATTCGCCGTAAGGTATGGCTTCCTTCAACTTGACGTGATAGTCCTGCAAAACGTCCAGGGCAGACAAAACAGACGGTCGAGGCGCTCCGACGACAACTTCCTGTCCAATGTCCGGGTGGCGTTCACAAAGCCGTTCCAGAACCATCCTTAGCTGGCTGGCATCAAGAGTCTCCAGAAGTCGAGGTAAGGGAAGCGGTCGACCGGTAAGTTCGTTTGATCGTAATTTTTTCGATGGGCGGGCAAGTGGTCGAGCTGAGATAGCAGGCGAGCTCAATGGCGACATGGTTTCATCTCCATCGTCATCAGCCTTTCGCTTTCGATTTGACATGCCGAGCAGTGGTGAAACTGTTTTTGGGATTAGCCATGATGGATGCAGAACAAAAAGGAGAAAGTTGCGGGCCCGTAGCGAAACACTAAAAAAAATGACTATTGTGACGCAGGATTCGTGGCGATTTATACGTACCGGATCGCTGAGGAGACAATCGAGGGTTTTCGTGGTGGTGTGGGAAGACTGGAGGCTGCGGCGACAACAAAACATTCATGATGAAGTTTTAGGCCCGTTTGACGGAGGCGAAACCGTCAAGGGCGACAATGAAACCGACAGAGCAAGGTTTGTCGCAGCAGTACGATTTCTTGGAAGGTGTTATTCACTACACGAAGTGGCAGTTGCCGTCGCAGAGGCGGATACTTTGCAATGTAAGGGGTTGAGTGTTGCGATGGGACGATTGGTGGATGAAGGTTGAGCGAGGCAACAACTGTGTGAGGGGAAGCAGAAAGGGCGAGATGGGAAACGGGAAACGGGAGTCGTAATAATGGAACAGCCGGCTGAGGACGCAAGGCAGCCTGCAAATCACAGCCGACTCTAGAAAGAAGGCGGTCAAAGCTAAGGCGAGGCCCAGGTGGTCCAGTAGGCGTGCCCTAGCTGGCAAACTTGGGACGTTGGGTGGCAGCCCAAGAAAACTAAAAGGGACGGGTGGAAGGGGTGGAAGGGTGGCAGGACAGCGGTTGAGTGGGCGCTGGCGGATTTACAAAATGGCATATGCGATTGTGCGAATGCGAGTGGAGCGACGTTGTGTTGCTGTGACCGGGGGGTTGGAGAGAGGAGGGCGAGAGACCGAGGAGAGCAACGTCGCTTGCGGAAGGCGGACAGCAGATGGGCGATGGAAGAAGATGAGAGATGGCGAAGCGATGGGAGGGCGGCCACTGGTTGGCTATATTCGGTACGCTGTAACTAGCCACTATGTAGGCAGATGCAGCAGCAGGAAACAAATGGCAAATGCCTTCAATGTTGAAAACACCAGACTGGACCAGAAGACCAGATTCGAGAACTGGGGGCACCGGAGCATCTCAGCCTCATGGCACATAGCGACTGAGTGGTCTGGTTATAATATTGGCTTGAACCAGATGGCCCGCCCAGCTAAGCTTTGGCGGCTTTAGCGTGGGTCCGCCCTGCCGCGCCTGAAATGCTCGCCCCCAGCGCCATCTATTATTGACTCGGCATGGCACAAACAAACAAGAAGGAAGCCAAGCCTGGCCTGATGCCCCGTGGTCTCTGCATGTGTGCATTTGCGCGGAGGTCAGCCCGAGGCCGAAGCTGCGCGTCGCAAATAGTATACCTCCCAACGTTGGTAGTTGCCTCCTGCTCAGAGCTCTTACAAATCCCTTTGAATGTGTTAAGGTGCCGCCTTTGTATCTACTCCAGAATACCCTTATCGAGTATTTTTACTTATATTAGGTCTAATAAAGTACTATTAAGTAACATATTAAAACAATCACGAGTACTTTTATTATTAGCTTATTAACTTATTTAAAAAAAAAAAAAGGGCTAGATGCCCTTTATCTAGCCCGTTTTTTAACTTATTTAAATAAGCTAATAACTTAATAAATTAATAAATAAATACTTTAAGTAATGAATACTTATATATTCTGAATATGCAAATAATTAACTTTACTTCATACGCTTTAAGTGCTTCACTTTATATACTTAGTCTCTTACGTAAACTAATAGGATGCCTCTTTCATTTATTCCACGGTAGTTTTTACTGGCGAACTCATTTTAGGCTTCGACCCAATGAATTTCATCTGACTGGGGCGGAAATAACCCCACTCTCGCACTCCACTCTCGGACCCCTCCCACATGGTCCAACTACCCCTGCTGGTACGGGAGTAGCTTATCGTTATCGCCTGGCTACACCAAGGGAAAAATTTCTGGCTGGATGCCAATTCGCCTGGCCACCGAGGATTCTACAGATTGGCATCGACCTGTAGACGAGAGATTTGTCAAAGCAGTCCTTTTGCATTATTCGGAGTACAGGCATTTTCGCGACTCTGTATTTGACCAATGGAAAGTGTTAAAGAAGAGACTGTCCTCCAGGATGAGGAAAAAGTCACGTCCACTAAGCGCAAGTCTGCCATTGACGAGATCGAGGTCGACCTTAGTCTTCCCGAACCACCATCAAAACGGGCTCGGCGTGCTCTGAAAAAAGGCAAACCCCTTCCCGCGAAGAATGACAGCGGCGACGAAAAAGGAAAGGCAGATGGCGATGGCGAGCAAAATGACAAGAAGGAAAAGGCCAGGTCAGAACACGGCATCTGGGTTGGCAACTTGCCCTTCACCGTCACAGCGGCAGAGTTGAGGCAGTGGCTTGTGGACAACTCCGGCGGAGTCATTACTGATGATTCAATCACGAGGATAAAAATTCCTACGTCAAAAGACTCTGGTCGAGATAAAAGCCAAAAGCCCGCCAACAAGGGCTTTGCCTATGTTGACTTCACAGACATTGGCGGCAAGGTTGCTGCCATTGCGTTATCAGAGACAGAACTCGGACACCGCAAGCTTCTGATCAAGGACTCCAAGTCATTTGAAGGACGACCTGCAAAGGAGAAGGAACCTGAGGCGGTGGAGACGGGACCAGACGGCAAGGTCAAGCACGGTGCCGAGCAGAATAAAGACGTCGACCCCAATGCCAGCCGGAAAATCTTTGTGGGAAACATGAGCTTCAAGACAACAGAGGAGGATGTGTGGCGGAACTTTGAGAAGTGCGGAGAAATTGACTGGGTCAAGGTGGCTACGTTTGAAGACACGGGCAAATGCAAGGGCTACGGATGGGTCAAGTTCAAGCAACCCGAAGCGGCCGCTTGGGCTGTCAAGGGATTCGTCAAGGTGAAGGAGGCGGTTGAGACGGAAGACGACTTCGACGATGGCGACGACGCAGAGGACAGGAAACAAGACCAGCAGAAGCAATTCAAGACGAGGAAGTGGTGGGTGAACCGCATGCTGGGACGAGAACTCAAGCTGGAGCTGGCCGAAGATGATCAGTCTCGGTACAAGAAGCGTTTTGGCAAGGACGCACAGAGGCCAGCGAACGGTGGTGAGCGAAAGGGCAGGTCCTCACAAGGACGGAATGGATTCAAGTCGAGGGATGAAGCGGCGGGCGATAGCTCGGGTGCCAAGACTGAGGCTCCGGAGAAGGCAGCTAAGCCGCTCAAAGAGGCTGCCGATATCCAAGTTGCTAGATTGACGGGTGCGGTTGTGAAGCATACGGGTACCAAGATGAACTTTGATTGAACATTGTATCTATTGGGTGTATTTACGTTTAACATGGAGAAACCCTCACGAAGCGATCAATTTCAAGGCATCCCATTTTTTGCATCTGGGTCGGATAGACGGAGAGGCGTGGTGGTGGCTCTCCTCACCCCGCATCGACTTATTTCCTGCTGTGACGGTCGATTATTCATCAGACTTGGAACCATTCCTCCAAGCCAACGATTGTCTCTTTCTCCTCTCATCAGACGCTTTGCCTTCCAAAGCAGAGTATAACTGGGCTCACACGCCTCACCTATCGTATCTGTAGCTGGGAGTCTGGGACCATGTATGAATCGCAAGTGTCATTCACCCTCGATACCATTTGCCCGTGGTAAGCATCTCAACCCCCATCATCGCATCACCCTCAAAACACTCAGATCAAGCCAACCCCCCCGGGGGTGTTCCAGAACAAGAGCCAACCCTCTCAGGACATACCTGGCAAAGAAGAGGTCTGTACCACTCTCGCCCTTCAACCCGCTTCACCCACCGCTAAAGACGCCAGCAGACTGGACGAGGCCCTCACCCAAGTCCGAGCAACCTCACCCCCGGTAACTTTCACCCTCCACTTCGAACCGTTCCAGCTCTTCCCCGACTTCTCCGACGCCGCCGACAAGCAGGAATGGTACCTCCGTGAAAAGCACTTTGACAATGAAGCCGCCCAACAAGCGTACCAGTCCCACATGACGTCCCTCCTGGAACCGCACGGCGTGAAGCTCAATTTCACCGGCAAAATGGGCAACACCCTCCACGCCCACCGCGTAATTCAGCAGATTCAGCGGCAAAGGGGAGCTGACACGGCCAGCCGTCTGGTAGAAGGGCTGTATAGGCGGTACTTTGAGGAGGCGAAGCATCCGTCCGGGGACGAGACGCTGGTGGAGGCGTGCGTGGAGGCGGGGGTAGGGGAGGACGAGGCAAGGAAGCTGGTGGGAGATAAGGTGATGGGGCTGAGGGAAGTGAGGGCGAGGTTAAGGGAGGTCACGATGGACGCTGATGCGGTGCCGGTGGTGGCGGTGGAGGGCAAGAGGAGGGATATCACGCTGACGGGGGCCAAGGAGGTGAAGGATTACATTAAGGCTCTGGAGACGGTTATCAAGGAGAGCGGGTGATTTGCTGAGTTTTGATGGTGAACCGTTTTTTTTTATAAACACCGTTGGATTTTTTGTGAAACTGCATGGATGGACGGATCGACATTGCTACAACCCTTTCCCTTCGAGAATGAAAATATACGAGTTCCGATTGTCCTGATATGATGGATAATGTGACGCAGGTACAACACGCAGTAACGAGCGGCTAGTAGGTGAGGTTGATGCAGCCGTGCGCTTGTCAAGTCTGGGCAAGGCAAGTGGTTTACGTCAAGTAATGTGCTATTGATAGAGACAGGTAAGAAAATAAAAGAAGGTAAAAGATGATCAATACAAGACGAAAGAAGAAAGTCATGACGGTCATCAGACTTCATTACAAATCGTTAGAGAGAAAAAAGGAACCTGTACCTCACTGCCACTCGTTTCCAACATGACTCTCACGAACGGCTAAACATCAACGGCACCAACGCGCTCCGACTCTCCATGCGGCCCCTATCCTCAACAACCACCTCCATCGCACATATGTCGTTCGTCCACTCCCTACTCGCCATCAACCTACACGCCGCCACCGCATCAGCCGCTTTGCCCTTCTTGACGGAAAACTCCCTGCTCAGCTTCGAGAGGACCGCCTCCTTAGCCCTCTGAAGAGCGCTGTCCCTCGCAGCTCCGTCTTCGGCGAGGAGTCTATGCGCTTCTTCTTGCTCAATGTTGCGCTGGACAGCGGAGATGCCGTCGTCCTGGGAGCAGGACGGGTCGTAGACGGCCGGCTGGAGGATAACGGGGTGTGGGTTCGCCGCAAGGATGGGTGCGGTGATGACATGTTTTGGCGAAGGGGGCGTGACGGGCCGGTGCTTGTCCGACTCCCGGGAAGGCTTGGGCTTTAGCTTGGACGGCTTCCTGTCATGGCGGTGCGAGGACGACGGCCTCGAATCAGAGCCGTGCTCATCGTGTCTCCTCCTCCTCCTCTTGGTCCGCTTCTTGCGCAACTTGGTCGTGAAGCCGACATTCTCTTCGGACCGCGCCGCAGAGGCAGCAGCAGACGTCTCCTCCGACAGCCCTTCGACGACGGTCCTCTCCTCGTCGCTGAATCCCGATGCGCCCAGATCCAGGTCCAGCAACTCCCTGCTGGCTGCTTCGGCCGCCGCACTCGGACTAGGCAGCTCCTCGTCGCTCTCGCACGTCACCAGACTGTAGTCGGACGCGGCCGCCATGCTGCTCCTCGTCCAGGAATCGTCTCTGCTGAGCGGCGCGAGGGCATCTTCCCAGTTCCCATTGTTCGCGAGCACGACGTTCTCAAAGTCGAATTCCTTGACGGTGGAGCTATGCGACTTGATCAGGTCGCTCAGCTGGGGCGCATTCATGGCGGCATTCCGAATCTGCAGGTGGCGCAGCTTGGGGAAGTGAATGGGTTTCCGGGGCGGCCGGACGGGCAGCGGCGACATGGGCGACGTTACTTCGTGGAAGAGCTTCTTGGACGACCTGGGCGGCGCAAAGAGCGGATCGGAGGACAGAGCCACGGGACAGGGTCCCTTTGCCCCGATCCACGTGAAGCTGAACTTGTCGAGGGACGGCGCAAAGAAGCGCACGTAGTCGTCGATGATTTTCAGGTGGTCCAGTCCCGGGGAAGGGCCGTGAAAGTCCCATGATTCCACAGAGATGTTGAGCTTCTTGACTTGCTTCCAGCGTTTTCCCGCCGAGGGGACAGAGCCGAACCCCTGCGTGTGACGGAGGTAGTTGAACGCCGAGGGGTGCAGCGACGACAGACTCAGCTTGTTGAGTTTGTCGAGCGGCGCTCTCTCCACGGCGATTCGGAGGCTGATGAGCGCATAGTCGACAATGTCCCTACGGTACCTCTCTCTGGGATCCTGCCCGGGGCAGCGGATAGTCAGGTGCCTCATGTTTGGGAGCGAGTGAAACGCATGGATGAAGCTGGGCACGTTTGTGGCGGCGTGGAAGAGCGGCGGATACTGCTGCGTCAGGATGTCGCCCAGCTCCGTGTTGGCATACTTGCGACGAGTGAGCGCGGAGCTCATGCTCGTATGGGGCGTGTACAGGAAGCATATCTCCTGCCCGGTGAGCGGATGCACAAGAGGCGGGAGGAAGGTCGCTTCGGAATGAGGCATCTGAAACGTCAGGTGCTCGATGTGATGACCGATGCGGTTGAGGGCCGCCACACGGGTGGGTTTGGTGAAGGTGGCGGGCGTGAAGTTGATGGTGATGCGGGTGAAGAGGTGCCTCGTGACGAGGTTGCAGCATGCCGACGAGAGCTGGCGGAGCGAGGCGATGTTAGAGGTGGGGAGGTGCGAGAAGAGACGGCCCTTGATGTGGTCATCTCTTAAGAGGGCGATGAAGAGTTGCTCTGCGGGCGACATTTCTCTTTCATAGTGTGGCGGACAGTGTAAGTGAGATGAGGCGGGTTGGGGTGACGATGATGCAACGGGTGTGGTTGAATTTTGAATACCAGCCAATATTCTATGGTTGGAATAACAATTGATGCAGCTGGTAGCTGAGTGACACCCAAGATTGAGCTTGTCAGAAGCAAAAGCTGTGATGGAAGAAATAACCACGTCGATCAGATAATATCACCGCCACGAGTTGCGGTGTAAGTCGTGAGCCGGTATAAAAATTCCACCTTGACAATACCTCAACTTGAGAAGTCTCAAAAGAGGTAAAAAATGGACTCCTAGCCAGGCACAGGCATCAACATGTAAACAGCTAAATTGATTAAAATCTGAGGGCACGAGGCCATGAAAGGCGGGGGCCCGTATATATTCCGCATGTGCATCACACTTTTCTTTCGTTCTCCTGATCCCGCCTCGTGGGTTTCCCGTCGCCTCTCCCCACCAAACTATCCATATTCTACCCTCGTCTCGGCGCCGCACCAAGGCTCAAGAATCGAGTGGTCCTGAACGATCCAGCGGTATGCATGCAGGCAGTCTGTCTGCACCGTACGGTCTGGTTGGCCGGGTATTTTCTGGCGTCGCGACCGCGATGGGAAGGCGTGCCAATGGCCATGGTTAGCCAAGTCGGTCTCTGGATTCCACATGAGGTGCAGAACGACCTGTGATGGACCAGTGGGATGGCCTCCCACGATGCGGGCAGGGATGTCGTATGCAGCGCCGATCTGATGGCGGCCTTTACGCGGGGGAGAGCCGTTGGAGCGTTTGTGCGGACGACGTTGGGAGATGGCAGCTGTGGCCAATCATATGGGCTTGTGCGGACGCGAGACACGCGCGCCACGAAAATGTTTGACGCGGGTGACGCGGGCCGCTGTGGCTGCTCATGCGTGGTTTGGACTACGTACTACATTTCCGAGAAACGTCTGGTCCGGCGCCATTTCGAAATCGAAATGATAACTTAGAGCTTAATCTTAAATTTCTTGCTCCATGTGGTCCGTTTGTGTGGCCGCAGTGGATGGTTCCCATGATGGCAGTACGCATTAACCCAAATTCAAGCCATCACCAACACACAACTTGAAAGCCAAAGCTGTCGCATATCCCGCCGTCATAGTGGTCGACTTGAGTATTCCTGCTCGTGTAAATCCAAAGCATTTCACCATGTCACGTTCTCACCCTATTTCCCACTGTGATGCACGCTTTCCTCAAGTCGTTGTCCAACCACAGCCTGTGGCGTTCGCGACGTTTTGCACGCGTTGAAACGAAACGACGCTTCAGACCAGCCAATTGGATTGTGCGCCAACACTGACCTTCATGCTCATCGGTGTCATGACCACACAAAGTTCATCCCATCTCCCATCACGGCATTTTGGTCCTCACACCCACAACTTGAAGAAAAGTTTCGGGTCGGTCCCTCCGAGTTGGTCATCATGTGGCTCTATGTCGTCTCAGCTACGACCCATACAAATGCCAATCACATCTCAAGCGCAAAAGTCGCATTTTTTACATACTGCCCTCATTGCTTGTGACACTTCATCATTGGGTATCTGAATCTCTCTTTCTCTGCATAAAACAGGTCCACCAACCCTGTAATTCATGCGGAAATGCAAATCAACCGGCTACCTTCCGCATGTATCACATGCGCTATCGCCCTCTGCCTCTGCCTCTGCCTCGTCCCCCTCTCCCACCACCACCACCGCCGCCGCCCCTTCCGCCCCGCCCGCCTTGGTTGCCATGTCCACCTCTGGACCTATTCGCATTGGTTGGCGGTGGAAGAGGAGGTGGCGGCACGCTGCGATAGCCTCGCGTTGATGGAGGAGGCTTGGTTGGAAGAGAAGGGGGAGGGGCTGGGGGTTGGGAGTGATACCCGCGAGCTCCAGGTGGAGGGGGATATCTACTAGATTGGCCTCCTGTCAAGGGTCCTGACGGCGGCGGTCCCGGAGGAAGCGGTGGTTGGCCAGCGAGTGGCTGAAAGCTGTTGACGGCGTAACTACCCATCGAATGTGGCAACTGGATATTGCTAGACATTCGAATTTGGCCGACGCCCTCTTTCGGTGCTTTCAACGGCTTCCCGCCGAGGAACTCTATGTCAGAGTCGTCACTTTCTGAATAATGGATATTGGCTGTCCGTGCAGCGTGGCCGCGAATCTTGGTCTCAGGAGCCCGCAATGGTTGCCTGTTGCCTTCAGGGTTGGCGGCATCCTCGATCGACAACGCGTCACAACTATAGTCCATATAGAGGCTGCGGTTTTGTAAGGACCAGGTAGGGTTGGAGCAAACTCCTCTTCTGTGTCTGCAATCCCCTGAAAGGTGGTCTTTGCCACCACACACTGCACACGAGCTGGGCAAATACACTACTGTGTGTATTGTTTGTTCCTCCGGGCGAAATGATCGCCAGATATCTGTGCAGCTGTCCTCCAGATGCTCAGAAGACTTGCAGTAAAGGCAAGCCAGGCCCTCGTCTGCTGTCATTGCCAGCTTTTCAACACAGGCGGCAGCCTTGTGCCCCAATTGACGGCACTTGTCGCATCGTTCTTGGATACTGGGACAGCAAAAGTCCCAGTGATCATAGCTGTCGCAAAATCTGCATTTGGAGCGAGAGCAATGAACCGCCCTATGGCCTTCGAGGCCACACAAAAGACACATCTTGGTTGGGTCAGCAGCCGAGGGGAAGTATCTTCGCTGTTGCTCCAGCTCCTCTGGCCCAGTTGGAACGCCTTCTCTGACTATGGAAGCGTCGCCATTCTGTGTTGTGTACTTCATTTCCGTTGGCGCTAGATGGCCGCCGTTACTAGAGACCTCGCCCTCCTCTGGTGAGCCGTCGTTTGTGCCTTGGGTCTTTGCTGGTGGCTCGGCGGCCGGTTGTTGCGGACTAGCATCCGTCGAAGACTTGGTTTCTTCAATCGTGGTCTGTGTCGTGCCAGCAAGTAGCAAACTTTTGGCAGCTTGTCTTGCTGCCTTCTTCTTCGTCTGCCGCAGGCCACTATGAGAATCAAGGTAATGGATGAAGGCGTCCGTCGCCACTGTAGGCGTGATTGCAGAGACGTTTTGCGGGTTATACTTGCAAAGTACCTGAACCCAGTCCTTGAACCTGGCGGCCCATGAGCCCTGCTTCTTTCGAGATAATGCAGGCAGGCCCAGTGACAGTGAACCTACCGTATAGGTAGGGGGTTCAGGAGGCATACTGGCTCCAGCGAAGGGTTCAAATTCGTCAACATCGGCCTGGTCGGTCGTGTGACCTGATGTCGAACGCCTGTTTGTTGCCGAAGGGGAAGAAGCTGCCGCAGAGTGAGCAGGGGGATTCGTGGCCTCCGCTGCACTGGCAAACACAGATTGTTTGCCCTTCTCCAACGCAGCGCGAGGATTGGCTTCGGATTCAGACTCATCAACTTCGCCTTCCTCTGAGCCTTGATGAGTGCGGTTTGAAGGTGATGTGCTCAGTTTGAGCCGCTTTGAACCGCGCGAGAGCACATGCTCATGGATGGTAGCAGCTGGCGGGAAGCTGTTAGACTTGCCGTCGCCGGCCTCATCGCGTAGCCGTTTCTGGCCAGGTGTTGACAGTTGGCTATCCATGCCTTGCGGTGCTGGCTCCGGAATTGGCTCGTGGTCAATCTTGGGCTCGTAGTTGCTCTCGCCGTCACTGTCCCCGGGGTGGATGACGTCGCCTGGCGTCTTATTCCCATTATTGAGGCTCATGTCGAAACCAGTCCTGCGCCAACGGCCAGTAAAATCAAATGACGATACTGCCTGTTCTCTCAAGTCTATTCAGTCCATGGGACCATGGTATTTTTTGCGGCAGTTCCCAGAGGTACAACTACACGGAATGTACTCTCCCAACCGTACTCCCGGGCTGCAGTCGCTCTTGGTCGCAATCCAACAGTGTCACACACGCAACGCACGGCTCGGTTGGATGCGCACTCTTTTACCGTCTGAGGAGTCAATGAATCATACAACCGTTGCAAAACTTTTCGGCAGCTTTAATGAATCTGACGTAGACTCGACCAACAAATGATTCATCGGGGCACCAGTACGAGGTATGCCGAAAGTGTCTTCCTCCTGGGGAAGAAAAAAAAATACTGAAAAGCGGGCGAATCATATCGCGTCCCCGAGTCGCCGGGTTGTATGATTGACGGGCAGGAGACAGCCGCGTCCGAAGATTAACCAGGGACATGGACTTGGGCCGCCAGTTGCTGATGCTACCCTATACGTCTGGAACTCTCTAGGCTCGTGTAAAGCAACGTGTATGAATTTGTCCATGTACCGTGTGTACCGTTATGTGTTGTCAACTTTGCTCATAACCATTGTCTTTGCTTCATCGAAAGAGGAAAGGGGCCTCGTGTCACGAGATGTTCAGTCCAATGTATCCTCAACAAACTCAGCCGCCGGCCCATCAAGACCCCACCGATTGCGGCTGCAATGCTCGTCATGTACTGGAGACGGCCAGCAGGTCATTGAGTCCAGCAAGCTAATGATATTGACAACGAGAATGGCAGTCAAAAATGGCAGTGATGTGCTTGTCTCAACAAAGTCAATCTCACGTTCTACTAGGCGGTGACGGCGCCGGCCGGTGTGTGTGTCGTCGAGTGCGCCTAGCCGTCAGCAAGACTACAGCTATGATGGGGTGCTTGGCGATAAATGGAGCAATGATTATTAGGGAACACTGAACTTTATTTCCCGATGCCAAGTTAGCACCGAGGCGCCTGCAGCACCAGGCACGCGCTAGTGTTGACATGTCGTGCGCGCATGCATGTCGTCGGGTGTGCATTGCCGTGTCGACATGTGCTCCCGCCCGCCCAATTTGGAGGCTGTAGATGCTGCCTTGTCCTAAACGGATACGACTTTCTTAGGTCGGTGATGTTGGAGACGTAATGGAAGCGTTGCATGTTCCATGCCCGCGACAGGGGTCAAAAAGCCAAATCTTGGGTCTTGGTCTTGGTCTTGGCCTTGTACATACTTGACTCGGCAAGGCTTGGGGACCAGCTCCATGCCATGTCACGCTGGCACGGTCAACTTTCTCAAGCACCGAGGCCAAGCGTCGGTACGGAGGAGACACAAGAAAGATTGGGCGGGAACCAGATGACTATCAAGACAGACCATGTTGAAATAAATGTTGAACCCTCGTCTGCTCCGTGTTTGTATGTTGTGTCGAGACTGGAGCTCTAGAACCAACAACTGACCACTCACAGCATCCGTGTCCGCAGGTCGGACCCAGTGCCGGCCGGGCCTGTGCTAGGGGCGCACTCACCTGAGCCCAGACTGCACATGTCAACTGGTCCCAATTGATCCCAGCCCTCACCTCATGTCCGCCGGGTGTTTGCCCGCCCGCTGCTTGCCTCAGTTGCCTGCGTGCCTGGCTCCTGCCTGCTGCCCGCCGCTCCAGTCTGGCTCTGGCGCTTTCCTTGTCGAGTCGACACTTCCACTTCTAGTCCCACCTTCGGACCCCAGCTCCAACCTTCGGATATTCTCCCCATCACCAGTCTCTCCGCCCTTTCTCATCATCGACTTCTGCCATCTGTGCGCGCTGCTATCGCCCCCCAAAGGCATCCGTCTCCTTGCCATCGTCTTCTGTACTATCGCTCACTGTATTCATACATTGGCCACTGGCTGTGCCTTTTGTCGCCCGCTTCGTCACGACCTTTGCTCCCCCCCCCCCGAATGTCCTTTGTGGT